CTAATATTTATATTATTAATTTACTCGTAAATAGGTTTTTCAAACAGTAGTGAACTGCAACAACAAAAATTGTTATTTATATTATTTTAATTAATTGAATTTTAAGCTGACCATACAGTTATTTCGACTATTATTCATAAATAATTATTTGAAAATGCAAGTACCAAGGTTGAACTCGTACCCTGTCAAATTTGAAGCTCAGAGTCAGTGTTATTTAGTCATAAAATTTTTTTTTCATAAAAAATATTTTAACTAAGATGTTAAAGTTACTACATAAAGCTTTTAAATATATTACATATACAACATACAACATGAAATATTGTATATATATATATTTATTAATCACATTATATTAAATAATATAATATACATATGTTATTATGTAATATCATAAAAATTAATTTTATATTTTTATATATTGTATATATTATATTGTGTTTAATATATTATACATTACTAAAACTTTTTATAGGAACTTAAATTTTTTAATAAATATTTTTAATATATAAACAAACATTTTATAGCAAAATAACGATAATTTTAAAGTGAAAAATTACATTTTTTTTTTTTTTAAATTTTTTAACAGTTGCTTTCGTTTTATATAAACTACATGCTATTTTTAATGTATTTTATTGTTTAAACTAAATACAATAATTAATTAATAAATACTAATAAAAAAATTATATAAACAAACTATATTTACGTACGTCACGTAACGCAACGACGGAGAGAGCACCACAAAAGTTTTCAATACGTCATATAAATTATACGCCAATTTTTACAACGATTTACTTATTGTAAATAATTTTATATATTTATATAAATTTTTTTTTTTTGTGTATTTTTGATTACTTCAGAATAAAAAATTATCACAGCAAATATTAATACGATTAATTACGTGTAAAACGTTTAACAATGTTACGATTAATAGGGAACTTGTTCTAAAACTATATAAATTTATTATAGTAAAAATGAAAAAATAAACTTCTTATATAGTAAGTAGTAACGATTGTAAATGGTTTTGGTTTAGATCTAAATTACTTTTACATGGTTAAAGTTTTATTAACGATTATTAAAAGAACATTACGAATAACTACACATTAATCATTTATTGTTTTATATGAATTTACTCAGTCAGTAGATAATAAAAACAAAAATAATAATATTATAATACTAATATATACCATATAAAAGCTACTTAATAATTTCACTGAAATTGAATTAAACTCTTTTAATAAAAATAAGTTATAAACACCATCATCAGTATTACAATATTACTAGGAAATTAGTTCTAAAAATAAGTCTAGTTCAAGTGTTTGACCGAGAAATAGTCTTTTTTAATAATTACTACCTTATAATAATATGGCGAAAAGAACACCCAACATAAATACCCATATATGGTATACTATATACAGTCAAACTTCCATAACTCGAACTTCTATAATTCGAATTTTCTATAACTCGAACCAAAAACAGTGCATCAAGGTTTTAGAGAGCAAACTTAACATTCTGTTTCCATAACTCGAACTTCTATAACTCGAATTTCTCTATATCTCGAACAAAAATTTTGTTCCCTGCCGATAGAAATATGGGAAAGTGCATTCTAGAAGTCGAATTTTTATTTTAAGAATGAATCTATTTTAGTGTTAGGGGAAGTCCCTTTTTCCAAATCGAATATTTAATTTTTTCTCTCTTATGTTGTTTGTTTGTGCAAATGTCAGTCTCTGGCAGCGTGGTTTAAAGTAAATAAAATAACTTCCAATGCTACACTTAACGATTATATTGAGCTTGACAATGAAATTTGTACATCAAGCTTTCCTACAGATGACGATATTATTGAGCACTATAGCTCTAAATAACTGAATCCTAAACTGAATTCTAAGCGCAACGGAAAGTGATAATGAGGGTTCGGTGGATGTCATTATTTATCAGCCTTCCAAGAATGAAGTAGAAGACTCATTCAAAATTCTGAATTTATATTTGCAAACGCATGATACTACAACTGATGATCACTATAACAGTTTGAATACAGTGGAATCTCTTTTTACTGAAAATAAGAAAAATTAAAGTCCCAAACCTTAATTTCTGAATATTTTACTTCACTATAACTTCTATGCTTTATTTGATTGCAAATAAAAAAATATTTTAAAATGTATTAAAAAAAAACAATTAAAAGATTCTCTAACTCGAAATCTCCATAAAATTGCGACTTCGAGTTATGGAAGTTTGACTGTATATATACCTCTATATATATATATGTTGCAATAATAAATTCATGAAAAATGTTTATACGAATACGTTTCTATAAGAATATCGTTGTTAATTTAAAGCTTCTGTGTGGCATATTTTAATTATTATTTAATAACGAATTTAATTTAAATATCCTAAAAACTTTTATCGATTAATAATTGAAAATTCTTATCTATAATAGTCGACCAATATCGAATGTACAATTAAACCAACGATAAACATCTGTCACAGACTATTCTATATAATGAGTGCAAAATCCGTTTTATAGAATTATATGATATCGAAATTGTATTCAATAAAAAAATTATTGAATATAATTAATATATAAATTAATGACACCAACGTCTAAAAATTTCTATATGAGTTTAATTAGAGTTAAACATGAGAAAGAACTTTTCTATTAAATAGAAATTTTATTATATTAATTAATTATGTTAATTTAATTTAGAGTGATATCAAAAGCCACAGAAGTACAATTATGATAGTTAATTGTATTTGTACAGCTGTGATTTATGTGTTCGTGCAATATTTGAAATTTGAACAATGCATACTATATGCGACGTTGGTCAAATGTGTTGGAAGGTTTGGTATGGCCCAACGATTATAAACCCCATAGTCGTGTATTTAGGTGAGAAATTTCATATAGCAAAAAAAAAAACTTTCAAAAATTTTAAGTAACATGAATGTAAGTACATAAGTACATAAACGAAAAAACTAAATTAACTAATATTTTTTTTTGTATATTGCAAAGATCGTTAATACGTAGCTTATCCAATTGATTTCATTAAAAAAAAATAATAATAATAAAAATTGGTCTTAAGAATATCTTATGACTTTTCGTATTTCGTGAAGGACAAAAAATTTTTGATTTTTGAGAAATTTGAGATTGAGAAATTTCACCTCGTGAACAAAATGTTCACTTGTTAAATAGTATTGTGTTAAAAAAAATATACAATTTTTTTATATTTTTTGTTAAAAATAATATTTCTTTAAGTTACTTCGCGATTAAATGATATTCATTATATTTTAGAATAAACAATACTATTCAATTAAATTCAGCAGCGAAATATTTTCTTCTGACCAAAACAATATTTCGTTAAAGGACTCCTTAACAACATTGTGGGGGTTTATATATATGTACTAAGAAAAAATTAATTAAAAAAATATATACTACAAATTCCTACAACTTTAGCTTCTAAAAATTTTACATTCTAATTCCAATTCATTAGAACCAGCAGATCGGAAACATTTAAAAATGGATAGCGCGTTATCATCATATTTATCGGTATTATCACGATTTCAAGCGAATTATCAATTTCGCTTTAAATATCAATTCTCTAAAAAAGCAGAGATTAAATATAAGTATGTCTTTATATTTACATATAAAGTAAATATTAAGTATTTACTTATTAAAAGTAAATTAAAAATTTATTGCAAAAAAGAACAAGACAAGAATTGTGTGTAGCTTTATTTTTTCAAATAAAAAAAAAAGTGATCATTGATAGCATTAGTAATAAATATGTATAATTAATTAATAAATCACAGTCGTAACTTAAGCCAGACTTAAGATAAGTAAAGAATGGTGTTAACTAATATCACATAACTTATTTGATGAAGAAGGAAGATTGTTTGGAGTCACTTTGAGTAGTTAAACATATTTTTATTAAAAATAAAAAGAAATACCAAGATTATGAATGTCCTACTAAACAAATGACAGAATGCTGTCATTGTCAAAAGAAGGTTAAAACCAACGTAATCACTCAGTGTCTTATTGTGACTAAACTAAAAAGAACAATTAAGTACCTCAAGAAGATAAAGTTACTCGAATTTTTTAGTTTATTTAATAAACCTAAAAGGATCGAGAAGAAAGAGAGAGAGATAGAAAGAGAGGGCGAGAGAAAAAGAGAAGAAGAGAGAAAGAGAGAGACAGATAGAAAAGAGAAGGAGAGAGACAGATAGAAAAGAGAAAGAGAGGAAGAAAAAATAATAAGATGAAAGGAAAGAGAGAATAAGATAAAGATAGAGAGAAAAAGAGAGGGAGAGAGAAAAATAAAGGGAGAGAAAAAAATAAAGGGAGGGAGAAAAGGAGAGGAAATAAGGAGAAAAAGAGAGGGAGAAAGAGAAAAAGAAGGAGAGAGAGAAAGAGAAAGAGAGGGAGAAAAAGAGAATAAGATGAAAGGAGAGAGAGAATAGAAGAGGTAGAGAAGAGATAGAGAAAAAGAGTGAGGAATAGAGGGATAAAAAGAAAGAGGGTGAGAAAGAGAAAATAAGAGAGGGGGAAGAGGAGAGAGAGCGACAAAGAGAGAAAGAGAGAGCATGAACATTACGCATATTCAAAATATGATGATTTTTTGTGAAAAGAAGTGCGAATAGACTGTTTACTGTTTGTACTATAAACATTACACTATATAAAAATATGAGAGAATTTCTCATTGCCATAATACCTTAATATTATGAAACGCTTAAGGTTTCTATAGAATGTATTATATCAAAATCATGATTTTAAAACAAGTATTAATAGGATTATAAAAAATTAATAAAAAAAAACATTAGGAAACAAACAAATTTGATATTTGTAAATAAAATAACTATCAGAAAGTAATAACTGAGCCATCGAAAGCTATATATTTCTAAACTCAATATATTCAAACCAATTAACGAAAAGATTAAATGTGCGTGTAATTTAATAAGAAAAATACAATTTCAAATTTTATTTGGGATATATAACAAATTTAACTGTGTAATTATTTTTTTATACATAATTATTATATATTCGGCAGTGAACATCACTGGGCTACTGTCGTTCATTTTGCAACAGGAATGGAATAACATAAGTTAGAATTGAGACTTAAGTTAATACTCTGCAATTTGATTTCAATTTATAAGTTTGTGAAATTTTGTTTGGTCTGGATTGGAAATAGCCGGTGTTTCAATCTAAAACACATTCATGAGAAACACAATTAAAAAAATTCTTATATATGTATATATATATATAGAAGACTAAAGAATGACTTAAGTTAACTTATTGACTTACGTTATTTAAGTGAGGAGATTGAGACTTAAGTTACTACTCTGCAATTTGTTCTTAATTTTAAAATTTGTGAAATTTTTTTGGTTCTGGATTGGAAATAGCCGGTGTTTCAATCTAAAACACATTCATGAGAAATACAATTAAAAAAATTCTTATATAGAAGACTAAAGATTGACTTAAGTTGACTTACTGACTTACGTTATTTAAGTGAAGCTTAAGACAAAAGTTACTACTCTGCAATTTGATCTCAATTTATAAATTTGTGAAATTTTGTTTGGTCTGGATTGGAAATAGCCGGTGTTTCAATCTAAAACACATTCATGAGAAATACAATTAAAAAAATTCTTATATATGTATATATATAGAAGACTAAAGAATGACTTAAGTTGACTTACTGACTTACTGACTTACGTTAATTAAGTGAGGATTGAGACTTAAGTTACTACTCTGAAATTCGATCGCAATGTTAAAATATAAAAAATTTTTTTTGGTCCAAATTGGAAATAGCCGGTATTTCAATCTAAAACACACGTTTATGAGAAATATAATTAAAAAAATTATTATATATACAGAAGACTGAAAAATGTGGAAATTGTTTTCAATTTATAATTTATGATAAATTATGACAAATAGTAATCATTTGTTTATTGTAAGGCTGGCTTACGATCTTAAAAAGAAAACATTTTTATAAGTAATCAGTTCAAACCCCCTGTGTGGTCCCTTAACTTGAATTTGATATTATGATTATAATTAAGTATTTTCAAATTATACACAATTATGAATTGAAATAATGCCTGTTTTATGTTTTATGTATTATGTCAGTTCTGTCCAAAGCCCGGCAAGCGGCTAATATTTGTGCGGCCCACGACATGGGTTTGCGACCCATTAAGCAAATTTTTTTTTGGTGTACTGGTAAAACTACATTATTTTATTTTTATCGTATATCAAATAAATTAATTTAGATTGATACATTTTTTTTTTGATTTGTAGAAAACAACTATAAACGTATGTCTGTTTCTGCGGCTCTCCAATCTGTACATTGATTGGTATTGGCTCGTGATTGCATCTAGTATGGACAGCCCTGTATTATGTGGTATGTTATTAATCATCATGCGTTTTAATTAACTTATAACTTTAATTCAGTCTGAGAAAAAATACTAGTGAGTAACGTTAGCAGGCTAAGTTATAATTATGTATATTAAATGTATTAAAGCAAAAAATATATCAGTAACATTTCAAAGGGTAACATATTAATTAAAAACTATCTTCTGGGCAAGAAGTTAGTTTTGGCTAATATTAGAGCTGAGGAAAACGAAATTGCACTCGCATTAATATATTAATATATATGTAAATAATAAAAAAAATGCGCTCATATCGTTTTGAGTAAAAAAAATATATGACCCCGATATATACATATATAATAGACTATATCTAATATTTACGTATGTTCAAGAAATATGTGTATTTATGAGAATATAATATATAATTTATATTCTTACATTGAATAATAATCCTATACATATAATGGCAGACTGCATCTAAATAAATTCGATCGCAATAACTTATCCGTGCTTATGTTTATAATTACAATTAATCGAATTGAATTAAAATTTTTATTATATTCTTCAACTATTATAACTATTATACTTAAAATTTATTTTATTGTTATTCTGAATATTACTTAATTTGTTTTTGTTTTAATTTTTATTTCTATTTGGAAAAATACAAACTGAGCTTTAATACTAATTACGCTATATTTTATATGCACTTAATCAGCATTTCACTTATTAATTAAAACGTTTTTATGTACGTTATATACGTGTTTTTAAAATTATGCTCAACTTTTTTGTAATTATGTTAAATCAGTCTAAGATAAATGTATCTTATAAATTACGTATTTAAAACTTTAACAAGCATTAAACTAATTGCACACAGAGTTAAAGATGCAAAAATTACGAATACGATGGCAGCAGTTATGATTTTAAAATCCATCTCAGAAATTTGATGATAAAGTCCTGCAAAAGTTATATTTATATAAATATATATAATATAATAATATAATTAATTTACTTTTAATTTACTTTTATAAAAACAAAACAAAAATTTCATTTAAATTATATACTAAACATGATCAAAATCAAAATCAAAATCGAAATCATAACAATGAATAGTTCACAATACATATTCGACATATTCGTTTAATGACTTTTTTAATTAAATAAATTATCTGACAGCATATAAAATTATATGTACAAAAATTTAAAAACAAATATAAATTTATAAACTAAAACAAAAAAAAAAAAATAGTTTTGCGTGCCATATTTTCTGTATGTATGCATCTAAATGGTTTCAAATATCGTATATTTAGTACATGTGTATAGCTACAATTTTATGGAATAATAGCAACTATTTTGTAAGCTCTTCAATATACAAAGGTGAAATGTTCTAAAGAATAAGCACAATAAATCAAAATTATTGACACGTAACACATATATAAAAACTAAATCACAATGTTATCTGACACTACATTAAAGTACAGAATGTATGGTATATAGTGTGACTTAAAAGCACTAAATATTATTTCTAATACATATGACTATATTGAGTTCTGGTGAATAATCTATTCAGTATTCAGTATTAAATTCACTTTTTAGATATTAGTATCCCACCACTCGCACCGCTAACAAATCTAAATAGATAGACACTGCATATGGTATATAGTGTGACTTAAAAGCACTAAATATTATTTCTAATACACATAACTACATTGAGTTCTGGTGAATAATCTGTTCAGTATTCAGTATTAAATTCACTTTTTAGATATTAATATCCCACCACTCGCACTGCTAACAAATCTAAATAGATAGACACTGCATATGATATATAGTGTGACTTAAAAGCACTAAATATTATTTCTAATACACATAACTACATTGAGTTCTGGTGAATAATCTGTTCAGTATTGAGTATTAAATTCACTTTTTATATATTAATATCCCACCACTCGCAATGCTAACAAATCTAAATAGATAAATAGAATAGATAGCTAAAAGAAACGTAGATAGATGATGAATACACTTGTCAGACCTTAAGACAAGTCTTGTTCCAAAGACATTAGTCAAATAAAGCGAAACTCAGTATTATTACAATATTGTTACTGACACTGTACTGTTACTGTGTGTTAGAAAGACATACAAAACTTGACCTAAGCCATCGTAACTAGTAGAAGATTAAAAATTGTTGAGGCTCTTCCCTTACCTTATACGGCGTTTATATTGTGTGATTAGATTAAAAACAAAAAACGAGATTAAATGCTTTATTTACAGAAATTTATCAAACACACCAGACAAAATGTATAATGTAAATGTAACTAATATATACTCATATATATATATATATATATATTTATATATATCACAATGAGCCATTATTCTTGTTTAAATTGAGGTTTTGGTGTGGAAAGTTTCTCTTTTCCAACTATACAATAACTACACTCTTACTTTTAATTATTAAGTCGTGCAGCTAAATGGGTACGAGTTGGTTAGCGAGAGTGGAACAATATGATCTATCATTACCTAAACGCCACTCACAGAAAGGTACCACGCTGCACCTACAACGAGTATATTTTACAAAGTCTATGTATAAAATATACTCGTTCCTATACAATTGAGAGACAAATTCTTCTTAATTAGCTAAGAAAGTAGTTTTGATTTCACATTCCTCGTAACAGTGGTTAGAAGAATGGTTATGTTAGGACCAGCCGAAAGCAGTATCTGGTTAATTCTTATAATGAAAATATTGCTGAGTGTGTTGAAAAATAGGATATGGGGCACTTAACAGCTAAAGCCTGAATATAGACACAACAGATGTTATGGTGTCTTTTCTTCGACCGTGACATGTATAGACATATACTGTGGGAGGTAATACAGGGCAAGCCGAGCTTGGCTTTATGCCGTCATATATTCCAGTGCCCCGTTAGAATATATATTTTTCTATATACTTCTTAATCGCATCTGTATACCAAATTGGAGGTTCTAGTATTTTTAGAAACAAGTATTATAGTTATAAAAATGCAGCGCAACCAAACTATATCTATATCTATCTATATCTAATCTAGTTTTATAAGGTACTAGACCTAACTAATATAATTCTTCTATTTTTATATTTTTGATCAATTTTAACACACCTGGAGACTTGTTGTTCCAAAATTTATATAGAAGCATAACTATACCATCTAAATAGTGTGGTATTTGTTTATATTAGGAAAAAAAATTTTTAACCAAAAAAATGGGTATCAAATCTTCTTTTAGATAGCACACATATATGCATATTTCAACTAATATTCATTAATTTTTAGATTTTATTTATTTATTTTAAGTTCTTTTCTTACTAAACACCAAACCGTTTATTAAAATTAATATTTTAATTTTTAATTACATTAATCTTAGTTTTGTGTCCAGATCTCCAGTCACTTATTTAACCCAACAAACTCAACGATCTAGTGCTCCGAGACTGGAGTTCTATTACCATCATATGCCCATGATGTAACCAATCATTTCTGTGGCTACAGGCCTATGCCCTCATTAATATACATATATATATAACAGAATGTAGCCGCAGATCGTAATGATCAGTCATAAAGAAGGAATATCTGAAAGCAGCGTGAATTCAGTAAACCAAGGAAGAAATATATCGATTTCAAACAGCGTTTAATGCGTATAGCGAAGAGTGACGACGTGCGAATCGACCCCTTCCCGAAAAGAAAGGGAGGAGTGAATCGACTTCATTTGTTGCATGTTAAATAAAATATATCGCTACTAAAGGTAATTCAGGTTTTGGGGTTTGTGGCGTTATACGATTAATAAATCACATATGAAGCTTAAGCGTTCGTATAAAAAAAATATTAGGGTAACCTAACTTAACTCTAAGACATAGTTTTACAATATTTATATGTACTACAAAAATATGAAATAATATATTTTTTAAAAAAACAAAGATAAAGCCATTGACTAATTTCTAACTCAAGAACCTTTGCTATGTTAGTGAAAACTAAGCGCAATTTAAGCTATTATTTCTAATTTCGTTAATATGATCATGCTGCATTAAAGTTGGGACCGCATATTTGGAAAAGTACAACATATTAATTAGCGCTTCGAGCTTAGCTAAAAGCCAGACTGAAAACGATAAATTAGTTTAAGCAAAATTTCTTGACGTCAAAGCGAAAAGCTAACATATATTTTACATTAACATATGATTTCTGTATAGCACTACTTGATGATCTTTAAGCTAAATATCGGAAACCGTGGATTTAATATGACTGTGTTTTTTCTTCAGTAATAAATACCACCCACCTGGTGTTGACGTGTTTTCTTGTTCTGGTGGCAAATAATATGTTGTGTCATCATCTTCAAAATACTACACAAATAATATTAAAAAATTTAACCTATATAATTTAAATAATTCACAAAAAAAAAATGTTCAAATAACTTAAAACAAATAAACAAAAAATTATTTGGTATA